CTACTAGTAACAAGTGCCTTGCTACTAGTAACAAGTGCCTTGCTACTAGTAACAAGTGCCTTGCTACTAGTAACAATAAGAATTTAATTAGAATTGTAATTACCGAGTAAGGCCCTTCCGCTCCCAGCCGACGACCGAACCACAACAGAATTCGTTTCTTTGGATGTTCAACGGGAAGCCTAGGGATCTTCAACATTGAAATGACGGAACAAAACAACTAAAAGCACCTTCTCTCGGCAGAAACGACAGTTTCCTTTGGATCCTTCTCAGTCTCATCAGGCGGCTTCAGCAGTGCTCTTTCCTAAGGAAAGACTTCTTGTCGGAACCAAAACAACAAGATGTTACAGGAGTGTAACGAAGTGTAACTGAGTGTAGGAAACACTCAGAAATCTGGATGCACTAGTCATACTTCTGTGACTGAAAACTGTCAACATTTCACCGATTTGCGTGAATATTTTATTGCGCTTGGCCGAATGCGCGTCCAAGGGTCGAAAGCGTCTTGGTCCCTGCCTTCAGATGCAGCATCGGCAAATGCCTGCAAGAGCTTAGTCCAATGCGCATAGATCAACGAAAGCCCCGGAAACTGCAAGACTAACGCGGGCAGATGCCTGGTGGGAAGCATCATTCTCCCTTTGTGCTGCCTGTTGCTCCTTGACCTCAGTGTGACACCCAAATTGGTATGGTGACAATAAACCCTATGTCAATCCACGATGCTTCACACCGACCCAGCTCCAGGGGCCCCGCGTGATCACTTACATACGCTTTCAGGTTCCGTTCATGCAAGTCATGAGCTTCTGCCTGTGAGAGCGCATGAGAACTTTGGTGGGCTCAACAAACTTGTGGAACCCAAATCCCGCCTTCGCATGCCCTTGCCATGCGTGGAACCAATGCGCTTCTTTTTCCAAGTCTTGTCTTTGAGTCGAATCCTGAGCATGGAACGACACTTCCTCAATGCCTGGTCTCCTTGATTCGACAATCCATCTCTCTCTCTCTCTCTCTCCATCTCTCTATCTCTAACTCTATCTATCTGTCTATCTGTCTATCGTCTGTATGATAATAGTATCTCTAGCTCTATCTCTATCTCTCTCTTTTTCCGCAGCACGGGTGAAATCCATGAGCTGTCAATGCCAGCTGCCAGCACTCACTATGAACGGCGCACAGGACTTCATGATAGAAGGCACATGACAATGGTATGGCTGGTATGGTCTGGTATGGAGTTGCTTCCAAAAACAAGCTACAGAAAATGTCAGCAAAGCCTGGCATCCCTTTCTTGGGTTCTTGGGGCCCCAGGCCACCGGATACTTCAGAGCTTCAGTCTGCAACTTCTGGGCCATGCCACCCACCACTTCAGCCTGCTCTTCTTCCAGCCGTGCGATCCTCAGGATATATTTGACCATTCTGATGACGGAGTTCGATTCTATGCTACTTTCCATTGAAAAGCACTTAGGCCGCCTAGGCCTGCAAAATCTCCCACATGCTGCTGCTGTGTACCACTCGCATGTGTGTGTGTGTGTGTACCGCTTGGAAATTGATGTATTTACCTGCATCTGAAAATCAACTTCACTTTCTTTAAAAGCTTCAAACGGTTATTGTATGCCCTGCGGGCCCTGCGAGTCTAGAGCACCCGAAAAGGGTTTCACAGACTCGCCTTCACTTTGCCAACTCGGTGACCAACCCGACCCCACACGGAGAAAGAAGGACACCGAAACCGACACCGAAACCCGCTCGGCAAAGGCCGCTTCCGAGTGGCTCGTCCTCAGACCGCTCGATGTCGTTCTCGGCGCGGTGCTGGACCTGGTGGATCGTGTGAAGGTCCTCATCGTCGTGTTCCTCCTTGACCCCACATCTGCACCGCATCAGGAAACAAACGCAAAAAAAACAAAGATCCCAAGGGATTGTTGATACCTTGCCAGATTCATCCAACGGCCAGTCGTGACTGGGAAGGGTTGGGCCCACGCTTCTGTGTCAAGATCACCCATCTGCTCCCGAATCCTCGTTGCGCTCTACATCGATGGCTTTCCTGACGAGTCAGTCTTGAAAGCGTTGCGGCAGAAATCCCCGGCATCTGTGCCACTCAGAAAAGATGTTGTTTTATTGGGAGGGGGGGGTAGGCCGTAGAGAAGGGTACTAGCTAACGGTATATAGCTAGTAGAAGCAAGCGGGAGTGGCTAGTAGCTTAAGTAGCTAT